ACTGTGGGGGAAACCGAAGCACCCGGAGGAAACCCACGCAAACACGGAGAGAGCATGCAAACTTCACACAGAAATGCCAACTGGGGGCATCAATAAGAGAATGGGGAAAGAAGATTATAGTTATTTGTAAATAAATAATAATTTCAATCTTTGTTAAATTACGGTTAAATATTAATTCATTTGACAATTTGTGAAAATTGTTACATTAAAATGATTACATGGTTTCTTACATTTTAATTATTTAGTGAACTGCAAATTAATACAGTTTGATGATATCACTAACATAAATGGATTAAAGAAGCTTATATCATTCATTATAACACTTCTTAACATTTATTGGTGTGTATTTTAACTTCTTATGGGTCAAATATGTGCTCGAAACATTTTCTTGATTGAGACCTGTTGAATTCTACTTTCATCATATGCATTCATTCATTTTCTTGTCGGCTTAGTCCCATTATTAATCCGGGGTCGCCACAGCGGAATGAACCGCCAACTTATCCAGCAAGTTTTTACACAGCGGATGCCCTTCCAGCCGCAACCCATCTCTGGGAAAAATCCACACACACATTCACACACACACTCATACACTAGGGACAATTTAGCCTACCAAATTCACCTGTACCGCATGTCTTTGGACTGTGGGGGAAACCGGAGCACCCGGAGGAAACCCACACGAACGCAGGGAGAACATGCAAACTCCACACAGAAACGCCAACTGAGCCGAGGATCGAACCAGCGACCTTCTTGCTGTGAGGCGACAGCACTACCTACTGCGTCACTGCTTCACCCTCATCATATGCAATGTTTCCAAATTGCATTGTTTGTAATATTTCTTACCATTTTTTTTCTGTTTTATCAAAAATTTTCTATAGAGCTCATTTTCACCATGCTCACACCTAATTAGTAGTTAGACACATGTGATTATATGCAGCATCCTTCATTTATTCTCTTAGGTAAGGAGAAAGCTCCACTTAATCATCATACTCAGAGGGAAATGTGTGCCTTATGCATTTTCTGCAGCTTTTAAATACATATTTACATTGGAAATCTTTATAGAGTAAAACAAATATTAACATTTTACTCAAACGCATATCTAATAAATCATGTTAAAATGTGAAGTTTCAAGGGACCTCTTACATAAATTTAGAACAGTTTCATTTCTAATATAATAGTGTTATGTACAATTATTATGGTGGCTTGAAAAGCCAACATACTGTTATCTCACTTAAACTTATTATTATTCTGCTTCTTCTTCTTCTTTCTTCTGAGACTAATTTTAAAGTCTATCTCCTCCTAACCCTTTCAAGCTTCATACCTCAAACTTTCGTCAAACCTTCAAACTGGTCTGACTCGGGTTGCTATATCTTTTCCGACTGATCCGACTTTCGGTTTTCCGAAAAACGACCCGGAAAATTCCCAAAATTCCCATTGACTTAACATTGGGTCAAACTTTGTCACCTCATAACTCTGCATCAGACTGTCCTACAGACTTCTAACTGGGCTCATTTAACTCAGTCTAGCCAGCAGCCAATAACTGATGACCTTTAAACTTACTAGCCACTCCCTAGCAACCACTTTTGGCACCCTAGTAACTGTCCCATAGACTTCCATTGTAAAAGACTGCCATTGACTTAACATTAAGTCAACCTTTGTGAGCTCATAACTCTGCATCAGACTGTCCTACAGACTAGAGTCAGGCCTCATTCAACTCAGTCTAGTCAGTAGCCAATCACTGATGGCCTTTAGACTTACTAGCCACTCCCTAGCAACCACTTATGGCACCCTAGCAACTGTCCCGTAGACTTCCATTCAAAAGACTCTCATTGACTTAACATGGGATCAAACTTTGTGAGCTCATAACTCTGCATCAGACTGTCATACAGACTAATGGCTGAGCTCATTTAACTCAGACTACCAAACTGCCAATAACTGATGAGCTTTTAACTTTCTAGCCACACCCCTAACTACCACATACTGCACCCTAGCAACTGTCCCGTAGACTTCCATTACAAAAGACTCTCATTGACTTAACATGGGATCAAACTTTGTGAGCTCATAACTCAGCATCAGACTGTCATAGAGACTAATGGCTGAGCTCATTTAACTCAGTCTAGCCAGCAGCCAATCACTGATGGCCTTTTAACTTTCTAGCCACACCCCTAACTACCACATACTGCACCCTAGCAACTGTCCTATATAATGTAATTAGCTGTGCTATCAAATGCTTATAAATCTAACATACTAATGACATGCCAATCATGCTAGCAACATACTACTCATATTCTAATCATGCTAATGACATGCTAACTCATACTGGAAACATGCTAATGACATGCTAATTTGAACTAGAATCATGCTAGTAACATGCTAATTCATACTAGACTCATGTTAATAACTGGCCTACATGCATATCTTTGCATAGCAGTGTCCTATTGACTTGGGGGATGGCTCATCTGACTCAGACAACCAATGAGCATCTCAATATGATAATAAAGCTCACAAGCCACGCCCCCAAATTGATTCCATAGACTTTCATTAAAATAGGCCAAGATGCATATCTTTGCATAGCAGTGTCATAGAGACAAGGGGGTTGGTTCATTTAACTAAGACAACCAACCACATTCAAGTTCACTCTGTAACCTCGCCCATAGCAACAAAACAGAGTACCCTAGCAACCATTCATCAACAGCTATATCTCAGCATCAGAACATCGTAGAGACTTGGAGATTGGCTCGTTTGACTCATGCTAGCATACGGAACTTCCTATATGCTACACATGCTAGCAGTGACTAGCTACATGCTAATATTGACTAGCCAAGTACTGTAACTTGCTAGAAATGCTTACTAAGTATAAATGTTTTATCAAGCATGTATGTGAGGCTTGCCTAGTAACCAACCAGGGTACCCTAGCAACTGCCTAGCAACCACCCAAACTACCCTAGCAACCGCCTAGCAATGGCCTAGTAATGCCCTAGTAAGGGCCTAGCGACCACTAAGGACACCCTAGCAACCGCCTAGCAACGCCTTAGCAACCACTCAGAATACCTTAGCAACCACCTAGCAACACCTTAGCAACCACCTAGCAACCACTTGGGACACCTTAGCAACCGCCTAGCAACACCTTAGCAACCACCTAGGAACCACTTAGGACACCCTAGCAACCGCCTAGCAACACCTTAGCAACCACCTAGCAACACCTTAGCAACCACCTAGCAACCACTTAGGACACCTTAGCAACCACCTAGCAACACCTTAGCAACCACCTAGCAACCACTCAGAACACCCTAGCAACTGCTTAGCAACGCCTTAGCAACCACCTAGCAACCACTCAGGACACCCTAGCAACCACCTAGCAACACCTTAGCAACCACCTAGCAACCACTCAGGACACCCTAGCAACCACCTAGCAACGCCTTAGCAACCACTCAGAATACCCTAGCAACCGCCTAGCAACACCTTAGCAACCACCTAGCAACCACTTAGGACACCCTAGCAACCGCCTAGCAACACCTTAGCAACCACCTAGCAACACCTTAGCAAACACCTAGCAACCACTTAGGACACCTTTGCAACCACCTAGCAACACCTTAGCAACCACCTAGCAACCACTCAGAACACCCTAGCAACCGCCTAGCAAGACCTTAGCAACCATCTAGCAACCACTTAGGACACCCTAGCAACCGCCTAGCAACACCTTAGCAACCACCTAGCAACACCTTAGCAACCACCAAGCAACCACTTAGGATACCTTAACAACCACCTAGCAACACCTTAGCAACCACTCAGAACACCCTAGCAACCGCCTAGCAACACCTTAGCAACAACCTAGCAACCACTCAGAATACCCTAGCGACCACCTTGCAACACCTTAGTAACCACTAAGCAACTAGTCAGAACACCTTAGCAACTGCCTAGCACCACCTTAGCAACCACCTAGCAACCACTCAAAACACCCTAGCAACCGTCTAGCAACACCTTAGCAACCACCTAGCAACTAGTCAGACCACCTTAGCAACTGCCTGGCACCACCTTAGCAACCACTTAAAACACCCTAGCAACCGCCTAGTAAAATGCTAATTCATGCTAGAATTATGCTAACAACATGCTAATTCATGCTAGAATCATACTAGTAACATGCTAATTTATGCTAGATTTATGCTAACAACATGCTAATTCATGCTAGAATCATGCTAGTAACATGCTAATTCATGCTAGAATCATGCTAACATGCTAATTCATGTAAGAATCATGCTACTAACATGCTAATTCATGCTAGAATTATCCAAGTAGCATGCTAATTCATGCTAGAATCATGCTAGTAACATGCTAATTCATGCTAGAATCACGCTAACAACATGCTAATTCATGTTAGAAACATGCTAGTAACTTGCTAATTCATGCTAGAATCATGCTAACAACATGCTAATTCATGTAAGAATCATGCTACTAACATGCTAATTCATGCTAGTAATATGTTACCTCAAGCTAAAATCATACTAACATGCTATTTACACTTTAAAACCACTTCAAACTTTCAGATTCGGCTTTTCAAGCCACCATAAAGTTTGTCCTCAAACTTTACTATCTAGTTTAATAATGTAGACACACATAACAAGAAATAACATTTTGTTTGATTTTATTTTCTAAAATATGTTTTATATATATTTAACAATAGATTCAGACACTAACAAGAATTGTGTGAATATGTGCAAGTATTCCTAAACGGTATAGACGAAGAGACTGCTTTAAAATTAAGAATGTCTGTCATTCTGATAATGATATGAGCAAATAACCTGTTTGTGATTGATTGTTTAGTTCATTAAAACCTGAGAAGCTTGTGTGCAGGAAACATCTTTTTTTAAAACTATATATATATATATATATATATATATATGTGTGTATGTATATATATATATATATATATATATATATATATATATATAAACAAATTATATATATATATGTATATATGTTATATGTTATATATATGTATATATATATATATATACGTTATCTGAAGGAATTTATGTAATTTTCAATAACTGTAAATCTGTTTAGTTATGACCAAATGTGAATTGCACCATCTGAGCCTGCAGATAGCAGGTGTTCGCCTTTATGGTCAAAAGTGACACTCTGTACTGCGTCCTCATGAGCTGTTAAACTCGACACATGTAAAGAAGCCACTTCAACTGTCTTGACCGAGCCATCGTTACTCGCCACCGCCAGTACTCTTCCGTTTGGACTGAAGGCCACTTGATTGCTGGGATGCGGCCCGGTGTCCATGCTCACCATTGCAGACACGTTCCTCACATCCCATAATTTAACCACCCCAAAAGAGTCGCACGAAGCAATCGTGTCGCCAGTGATATTGAAAGCTGCATGGTTGCATGAATGCTTATGCCCGTAGAAAGTCTGGGCACACAATCCGGCACGGGCATCCCAAAGAGAGAGCGTCTTGTCTGCCGAGCAGGTCAGTAGAATATTCGAGAAGGGCAGGAAAGAAACACTGTTCACAGAGTCCACATGTCCACGCAGAGTGCAGCGGCAGCGCTCGCTATTCAAATCCCACACTTTAACCGTGTTATCCATGGAGCAAGATGCCACAAAATCACCACAGGAGTGAAAAGAACAGGCCCAAGTGGCGTGAAGGTGCCCCTCCAAACTGAGCACACATCGACTTTGGGCGAAGTCCCAGATTTTAACTGTGGTGTCTCCACTTGTGGTCCCCAAGAAATCACCACTGGGATGGAAACTACAAGACGACAGCCAATCAGTGTGACCCTCGCCAGTCATGATCATCTCTCCCTTGGGGATTGCCCATAATTTCCAAAGCTGGTCATCACTTGAGGAGGCTACTATCATTTTACGGGGATGCAGAGCGAGGAAGCTCACTGCCATTGTGTGCGCTTTGAAAGACTTGGAGAGCGAGAGGTTGGCTGATTTGGTGTTGGGGGAGGTAAGAGCCTTGATTTGTGGCAAGTAGGGATTGAGGCGAGTGCTGGATGGGAATTCAGAGTCTTTAGGATGTTTTCGGGCATCGTCACATGGCAGGTGTGCTTCCTTTTCAGGACTCCGCTGCATTTTTTCTCGTTCCTGTGGAGAGTTTGTAGGCTTTGAGGCTGTTTGGGTTCGTGAGGAACGTAGAGAGCCATCTAGGTTCTGGACCTGGCTGAAAGCTCTATCTCTTTCCAGACTGACCAGCATCTTCTGCCTCACAGCTGTCTGATATTTGTCGTTCAGCTGTCTAAGAGCAGGTTCATATGATGCATAGTGTTTCTTCAGCTTTTTTACATCCTCTGTAAGTCTGTTCTTCTCCTGAACAACACGTTTGTGCTGCATCCTATGGAAGTCCCTTTCTCTTTGTAGTTTTATTATGGTTTCCCCAGCTTCGAATGCAGCTTGTTTATAGTTATCCCGCTCTTTTTGTACGATTTTTAGCTCGTTGTCCAGGAGCTGGTTGTGTGTATAGACGTCAGGGATGAGTTCAGTTTTGTCTGTGTTAATTAAACCCTTGTGTTTCATTTCAAACCACTCGGTTTGGAAACAGTTCAATGTTTTTTTCATGCCCATATTTACCAGATAGTTGCGGAGAAAGTCGTCCACCACCTCGGGTATTTTAGGAACGGGGTGTCTGGCTGAGCTGACTCTCTGTGGAGAGCCGTCGGTTTGATCCAGCGCTGCTTTTACGGCAGTCTCCAGGTCCTCTTCGCCCTCAGTTACGCTGAACTCGTCGACGGTCACTTCGTCGTATTGATAATCATCCTCAGAGTCCTCTGGGATGAAAACCTTCTCGAGGTAATAAGGACCGTCAACGGCCTCTTCTGCTGCTTCGTGTCTTGCTGCCATTTTTACTTCAGCCGGTTTGTTGCGCTTGCTAAGTTGTGTATTGTCTCCATGGTGACCAAGAAAGCGTGACATGGGGACTTTCTTTACATTAATTTGTACAAAATTTGCACTCAACAAGATCAACGAACCACAGTATGTCTTCGTGGAAATTCAAATAAAATCTACAATGGACATCTATATTAAACTAGCTACTCATTTACATAAATATTTTAATTCTATGCCTTGATTTTACACATTTTATACAACAATATGCCAAATGCCAATGCCAAAAAATTAACTGTACAGAAGAGTCTAATCATATTTAGTGGAAAAACCCTGTTTTATTTTAGGTCACAACAAGCAAAACCCTTTATTATGCTGACTGTCATTTTCTGGAGAGAGAAAAAAGAAGTGTTATCAGTCTGTTTTTATTTGACATTTAGAATAAAAAATGCTTTTATAGAATGCAAAAAAAAAAGAAATGTTAGCAAACAAATTTTCTTACAATTACGAAACTGAATGGTCAAGATGTCTCTTTTCTCCCCATATGTAATTCATAGATTTCTCAGTTTTATGTCTGTGCATGTCTGCCATCCTATAATGTTCAAGTCCAGTAGATGGCGCTCAAGGTGCAGTTTATTAAAATTCCCATTAAACATGTTCTTAAAAAGGAGTCACAAATAGCCTATAGTCAAAGATTTGCTGCAATGATTATTAAAACTAATTATTAGTTTTTATAATGAAAATTATATTGAAAATGGCATTTTAGGAAATATTTAACCCTATAAATTTTTATTATATATCATATTAATGATCAATAGTCTAATAATAATAATAATAATAATAATAATAATAATAACAATAATAGCAATAATATCAATAATTCGTATATAATATTAATTTATATATAATATAAACAATACTTATTATTATAAAAGTTATACTACTAATGAGAGTTATTATTATTACTATTTTTATGCAATTACTATTATTATTGTTATAATATTTAGATTTAAGCCTTGTATTTCCTTATACTATTAGGATATTAATATTATAAAATTATCAATATTAAAATTCTGAAGTAGTTTAAGAAGAAGTTTAAGCTGAACTGTGAATAAATAAAGTTAGCACTGCCAATTTAAGCGACAGTCTCTTTAAAGCACTCAGACTGAGGTAGAGCCTTTCCCTGGAGAACCAATCAGAAGCTGTTAGCTGAGTTTTGGAAGCCGAAGCATCTGTACAAAGGTAGACGCGCGCGTTCTTGTGCAGCGATCAGTCAGCGAGAGCTCGAGGACGCGCGCCGGATGGATCACTGCTTTCTGAAGCCTTCATAAAGCCAGAGATATGAGCAGCGAAGTAGAAGAGGATAATCCAGAACAAACCAACTGCAGATGTAAAACACCCACTCTATTGTCCTCGTACTGCATCGACAGCATTCTAGGAAGGAAAAGTCCCTTAAAAGTTCAAGGTAAGTCGCTCGTTCTTTAATCTGTTGTTTTTACAGTATATTGTTCACGGAATTGTATCTGTTATTATTTTTAAACTCTGCAATGATGTTCAAAAACTAAATCCATGCATGCTTTAAATTTAACAGATGTTTATATATATATATATATATATATATATAGTGTCCATATAACCAGCATTGCCATTTACTTATTTAATTAAATCAACTATAATAAGTAAATAATAAACCATCATTTACTCAACCTTCACTTGTCACAAACCTGTTTGAGTTTATTTTCTTTCTTTCTTTCTTTCTTTCTTTCTTTCTTTCTTTCTTTCTTTCTTTCTTTCTTTCAGTTTTTATTTTTATATTTTGTTTGTTTGTTAAACACATAAAAATTTCCCCTTGGAACACGATGGCTATAATATGTCCGATATAAAACACTCTTGAAACTACTTAAGGGTGGGTAAATAGTGTGTACATTTTTATTTTTGGGGTAATCAATCCCTTTTAACCCAAACAACAATCCTAATTAAAATGCTCTACAGTAAATGAAATTGTTCCTTTAAACCCCATTTAAAAAGATTCTTTGAGGAACCCCAAATGGTGCTTAGCCTATATAATATTACTGAAGCCCTATTAATTTCTAAAAAGTAAATTAATGCTCAAAAACTCAACAGGTAAATGTCTAGATTCAGTTTGGTCTTTTGAATAATATTCTATTAAATAAAATTAGTTTTATATATCTTAGTTTGTTTTTTCAATAATCATTCAGATTTATATATTTTTTTCTTACAGAAACACCACACAGTTTGTGGCCCCTTCATCCACACATGCACCTGCCGCCGAAGCTCCGCCGCCCCTTCGCCCCGCTGACAGACTCCTCCACAGACGAAACAGCGGGCCCGAGACTGCTCCAAACAGCCTGTGAAAAATTAAAAATTACAGAAGCATCGATTGTCAACATTAGTCGTGCTGGATCGTACCAAGAACACGCGTCCTGCAAAAACACGCCAATAAACGAGGAAGAAGGAGCTGATATTTGCGGAGAGACAAATGTGACTCTAAAGCAAGAACGAGAGGCTTTTTTAAAGAACAGCGAGGAAACTTCCTTGTCCGCGGGAAGTGACACTGAAGATGGGATGTTGAAACGAAAACAGAGGAGATACCGGACAACATTTACCAGCTATCAGCTTGAGGAGCTGGAACGAGCCTTTCAAAAGACTCACTACCCAGATGTGTTCACAAGGTAAACGAACCAAAAGAATTTCAAAATTGTGGAGTCAAACAGTGTACGGTGCAATCCGTGAAATCTTCATTTAATTAAAAAAATAATTAATAATCTTTATTAGAAATTAAAACGAACTGAATTAGATTTAAAAATAAAATACAATAAATATGAAATATGAAATAATAATATCTATATGATAAATGATCTTATTACCTTGTATTTTATTTGTAGGCTAATAATTATTATATATTAAGCCCTGCAAGTTTTTCGATTTTATTATTATTGGTGTTATTATTTTAATTACGCATTTGGGCTATTTTATTTATCTTTATTTTGCATTAATTTCAAAAGCCACTTTATCTGATTAAACAGATTTAATAATCATTATGTGTGATGGAAAGAATATTATGTTAATAAAAAATATTTTTGACTGAACAGCATATAGACTCAGGCTCAGCATTCAACTTGTTTTTCTCTATAATTTAAGGGAGGAATTGGCAATGAGACTTGATCTTACAGAAGCACGAGTGCAAGTAAGTCACTTTCTTATTCATCTAACCTCATTCAGCAGTTTTGTTAGGCTATATTCAGCTGATCACATAACTCTTGCAACTGATCGTTACCGATTAGCGGATTTGTGCTTATAAAGCGCCGTAAAAATAGTAAGACGTCAGATCTTAAATCAAATGCGCGTTTAAATTAATGCATTTGATTTTCTTTCATTCAGATATTTTATCGTCTGTTTGGATAGTTAAAATATGGCAAACACGTTTTAATGCCAACGTGTCGTAATAGTTGCACTAACATAAACAAACATATACTAGGCCTATATGTGTTGTATATTCTCATGGTTTTTAAAGTAATATTTAACCCAAATGTTCTGTTATCATTTACCCACCATCATATTGCTTTCTTCGGAAAACAAAAGCTTTTGTAATGTTTGAGCTACTACCATTAAAACAAAAGAGTAAAACAACACTGGGCCACGTTAACTTTCATTGTTTGGAGAGAAAAAAACACAGTCTTTTTATTTAAACACTCACACTCACTTTTTATTTCATTTCACACAGGAATTTAGATTACAATTGAGTTTTCCTGTCCTTGTTACAGCTGTACATTCAACTACTGAGTAATTATAATTAACCTAATGTATACTCTATGGCTTAGCATTAGGTTTACATGTAGGCTATGAATATTTTATTACAGAAGGAACGTGTAACTTGGAGTCTTGGACATATATATAGTTTTAAATTGAGCTATTTCAGTAATGCATTTTCACAGATAAATGTGAAGCAAAACAAGTACTACGCAATTATCTAGATCAAGCATCTGATATTATTTTTTATCTGATATTATTTTTATTATATCTGATATCATTTTATTTTAAGGCATTCATTTTTCTTTAACTTGATAGCTTGATGTGCTTTTAGATATACCAAAATTAGCCTTTATTTAATTATTTATTTAACTACTTATTTGATTAAATGCACTGATTAAACACACTATCTTCCTCTCAAGGTCTGGTTCCAGAACCGGCGTGCGAAATGGAGGAAAAGAGAGAAAGTGGGGGTCCAGCCACACACCCTGAGCTTACACTATTCAGGAGCCCCTCCTGCTGCACAGTCCTTGTGTCATTACCTGAGCGGGAATCCTTTTGTCCCAAACCCACATCCAGCTATTGATTCAGCCTGGCCTGCCCCCTTCCAAAGACTAGCTCAGCCGGCCCAAAACTCTGTCTCCCCTCCTGGCTTCAGCGCACTCTTAGGGGCAGCCATGTTTAGACATCCCGCTTTCTTCAACCCTACTTTCGGAAGGTGAGACTCGCTGTCATGCATGAGAAACATACACAGATATAAAGATATAGGTTTTGTTACACTGTTAACAATTTCCTGTACGCTGTAAAAAAAAAATAATGACAAAAAGTCAAGACAACAAATACATTTACGTTGATTTAACTTATTTAAATGAGTCAATCAGGTTTCAACTAATTTTTAAGGTTATACTAAGGTTAACTTAATATTCGTAGTCAGTCTGTTAGTTGAGATAACTAAAAAAGTTCATGTGATTCAGCTAAAAACGTAAGCCAGCATAGAATCTACAGTAACTTTCTGTAAATTAATTACAGCAAAAATACTGTATTTACTGTATGAACCTTGCTGTATATGTATTTACAAAATGATAGGTATACCTTTATTGTAAAATGTACAGTAATTTTTACAATGTAACTTTAAAATACAGTAACCAACCCAGGCTCATTCTGAAAACGTAGTCCAGCGGACGTTTCTGGAGACCACAAAATATGTCCCGGGAGGTACGTATTTGTGCAGTTTTTGTTTTCGCGAATCCGCGAGAGGTCGCTGTGCGCGCTTTTCCGTCTCTCGAATGTCTCTCGCGAGTGCTGTTCGCGCCCGCACTGTTCTCGCGTCAACCCACCAGAGGCTGCTGTCTGACTGACCGAATGATTGACTGCGCGACCGACCAATCGGCTGACCCACCCTCCTCCTTCCCTGAACCCAACTACTTTTACCGATTGACCCGCTCACTTCGCTAAACCGAGCAACAATTTAGAAAAGCCGTCTAGAAAAAGAAAAGCCCTCGTCTGTTTTTTTTTTTTTTACCACTATTTCGGACTTTACCCCATTCTCACCCTGTTATGAACTCGTTCGCTTTATTTTTTGGATTCTGTTTTTGTCTTACCTGATTTCTGGAACCGATCTTCCCCGGACTCGAACCCGGACGGTGATGCACACTATGAGCTGACCGAACAAACTGATTGTGGCAGGAAAGCCCTCCATACGGAGGTAAGCGGTCAGCCGGCAAGCGCGAAAAGGAACGGCGTCACACCGCCCCCTAGCGTTCGCTTAAAAAAATTAAATGCAGCCATACGAACCTCCCATGACGTATTTCGCGGTCTCCAGAAAAGTCATCGGGACTACGTTTTCAGAACGAGCTTGAATTGACAGTAACATACTGCATAACTGCCCTACAGTAAAACACTGTTAATATTACAGTTAAATACTGTGTAATTTACACCAATCATTAATAATATTCTGTTTCTGTTTTTCCCCTCAGACTGTT